GCCTCGCTCCGCTCCGGCGCCCCTGCCGCTGCCCCCGCCGGCTCCCTCGGCTCCGTACCTGGGGCTCCGTCTCCCCGTCGGGCCTAAGCCTGTGTCGAACAGACAAACAGCTGCAGCTCAACCAAACCCTCCGGCCCCTCCTCCTCCTCCTCCTCGCCCTGGGGCTGCGGCTCCGGCCAATAGCGCGATCGCCCGCCCACCGCCGGGGGCGGGCTGTGTGCGCTCTCATCCGCCAATCCTCCGGAGAAAGGCGGGCCTCCTCGGGCTCCGTCACCAACGAGCACGCGTGAGGGCTAGAAAAGGCGGGGCTCTAAACCAATAGGGAGAGAGAAAAAAAACCTCGAAGATGGACAAGTTAAGGAGCCATTCAAGAGCGAGCTTCAGGAGACACGGGGAGGCCCAGCGCTGACTGACAAACGTGTCAACTAATCATATCCCGACACCCCATGACCCCGCCTTTTGACTCATAAACATCTAATCAGGTGAGTGGCGGAGGCGGGCCAAAGCGAAACTTGAACCAGTACTGAGAAAAATTCGGGACTTGAGTGGCAGAAAAGGCAAGGCGAAAAGAAGGCTTGAGGAGGCCGCGGCCCTGCGCCCCTCCCCCTGGGTTTGGCGGGGCCGCCTCCAGTGCCCCGCCCTCCATGACAAATTCGCGGGCTGGAGAGGAAATACCTCTCCCAGGGACCTGGAGCCGGAGAATCTAAGCAATTCTCTCGGTGCTACTTCCTCCTTTTAGTGGGGCTTCAGAGGAATGAAGTTTTGGGGTCGGCCCCGTAGCGATTCGGGATGTTTTCAGCGGGGGTGATGGCAGCTACAGAAAGTAACAGCTTGAAGATGCTTAGTCCCTTCCTAATGTTTCACATAGACAGCTGGTATTTTCGAGATCGTCAGTAAAGGCGAATAAAAGAAGTTAGCCGGGCGTGGTGGCGCACGCCTGTAATCCCAGCACTCGGGAGGCTGAGGCAGGAGGATCACTGCAAGTTCGAGACCAGCCTAGGCTACAAAATG